TAGCTCTAAAATCATAAGTATTTATCCAAAAATAATTTGGCAACTCATTTTAAAAACATTAAAGACACCTTTTGTGACAGACTTAGAAAAAATTTGGGAAAAATAAGTTTTACACCTACTTTAGCAAACAACAATTCAATGACACCATCTGCTGGCCCTGTACAGGGCCCGTAGGGTAGAACAGGGGGTATTGTGTGTTTTCCAGCCACATATTTCAGTTCTATACCACAATCAACTGTTACCTTCAGTTGTTATGAAAATGCTGTATATGTCAAAAATAAATCTGACTTTGCATCTAAATGCCTTGAAAATGCCCTCTGTCTCTTTGAACCTTCTACCGTTTCAGACACTCCCATTACAACACGTCTTCACAACAATGCTTTGGGGGAGGGGTGCTCTGTGAGGGCGGGAACAGAGGAGATTTGTACAAGTACATGTTTTTGATGAGGGATTGACATCATAACATCATGTAAAATAAAATAATGTAGATTTATCATAATACCCCCCCCACACACACACACACACACACACACACACACATTTTATTTGCAAATAAACATGAAATGTTTAGACTAAGCAATTGGTCTGTTTTGGGGGGGATAATAAGGTAATTTTGAGTTAACTGAAAAAAAAACAAAAAATACTTTATTGATCACAAAAGTAAATTATATAATATAATAGTAGTTCAAATGCATGTATTTTAGTTTAGCTATGCTCCCCAGTGTTGGTAAGGACATAGAGTGTGTAAATAAATAACGCACCATTTTGACACATTTGATTGAAGACGTGGTTCTGCAGGTTTATCATTCTGAGTGTCTTGCACTGGGTCAGACTCTGGCTCGTACATGTAAGGCTGGATTGACAAGTCTACCATTGTTGACATCCTTATACTATCCTGCCATCTGCCATCACTAATATTGTATGCACCTTCATATAAATTCATTTTTGTACTGTACTTTATGGTGTATATATGTATATAAATAAGCATATGTGTGAATGTATATGTCTATATGTGCATTGGTACATTACTATATATCACATGTGTATATTGTGGGGTTTTGTTTGTTATCTTTTATTAATCTTTCATTGTTCTTCTCAGCCTCTCTTGTCTTAAGCTGCAGTAATGTACAAATTTCCAGACTGTGGGATCAACAAGTTTTATCTTATCTTATTTTATCTTAAAAACAGTTTTTAGTCGGTAGACAACTGTATTTTTGCTATGAAACTACAAATATGGCTGAACGGGGTGGAGTCAAACACTCAGGGACCTGAAGGGGGCGGGGTGTGAAATATCTCATTTGTATTTAAAGAGAACGCACCAAAACAGCCTGCTCTGAGGAGCAACTCAGAACAGGGGTAAAGCAAGGAAAGCAAGGAGTCTGTGGAGCAACAAAAACGAGGAATTAAGACCAAAGCTTTGCAGTTTTATTTTAAATAGACCATAAGTGAATGATTTAGACGTGTAAAAGAAGGATTTAAAAGCATCAAATGATACCTTTAACACAGCTCAAAAATGTTGGTGCAGGAACACTAAAAGGTTGTTAAAGTGGTTAGAAAAGTGAAACAAACAAAGGTAAAATTTAAACAAAGTTCTATTTTTTTCATTCATTGAGTG